GGGACAGCGGGGGGAGGTTGTCACCACTGGGGGACACTGGGACAGCGTGGGGACGTTGTCACCACTGTGGGACACTGGGACAGCGTGGGGACGTTGTCACCACCCTGGCATGGCCACTGGGACACCGTGGGGACGTTGTCACCACCCTGGCATGGCCACTGGCACCCCCTGGGACAGTGTGGGGACATTGTCACCACCCTGGCCACCCCCTGAGCCACCGTGGGGACATTGTCACCACCCCGGGATGGCCACTGGGACAGCATGGGGACATTGTCACCACCCTGGCCACCCCCTGGGACAGCGTGAGGACATTGTCACCACCCCAGGATGGCCACTGGCACCACCCTGGGCCACTGGCACCACCCTGGGATGGCCACTGGCACCCCCTGGGACAGCGTGGGGACATTGTCACCACCCCGGGATGGCCACTGTCAGCCCCTGGGCCACTGTGGGGACATTGTCACCACCCTGGGACACTGGGACATGGCCACCATCACCCCCAAGGCACTGGGACATGGCTGGGCTGGGTCAGGGACACCCGGGCCAGGCTGGAGTGGCACCCCAGGGACACCCAGAGACCCCCAGGGACCCCTCCCCTAAACCAGGGACACCCAGAGACCCCCCAGAGACCCCTCCCCATGCCCAGGGACACCCAGAGACCCCCAGGGACCCCTCCCCATGCCCAGGGACACCCAGAGACCCCCCAGAGACCCCTCCCCATGCCCAGGGACACCCAGACCCCCCCAGGGACCCCTCCCCATACCCAGGGGGATCCCCAAACCCCCCCAAGGACCCATGCCCAGGGGGGGCACCCAGACTCCCCCAGGGACCCCTCCCCATGCCCAGGGACACCCAGAGACCCCCAGGGACCCCTCCCCATACCCAGGGACACCCAGAGACCCCCAGGGACCCCTCCCCATAACCAGGGGGACCCCCAGACCCCCCCCTCACCTTTCCGTCGGGGTCCTTGATCTCCACGTGCATGCCCAGCCCGGGGGTGGAGGGCAGGAACGATTCCGACTGTTTGTCCCACAGCTGCGTCCGGTAATTCCCTGGCACCGAGCGGGGACACACGCTCGGCCCGGACCCCCCAGCCCGGAACCCCGGGCCCGGTGGGCTCTTATCCCCTCCCCCCGAACCCCCCCCAGTGCTTCCTCCCGTTCCCGGTAACCTCCGCACCCCCCTCCGCCCCCGAATGGTCCCTCC